CAAAACCTTTCTAATTTGGGAGATGTTTTCGTAGTGCTCACTTTTTCTGTGGAGCCAAATGCTTTCAGCCTCAGCATAATTTGACTCACAGTTTCTAAACTATTAATCATCCAACCTGCACCTATAATTGGCCATGTTTATTTTTTTTTACAAATTATTTAAAAAAAATAGAAGAAATTATAGAGACAGCAAAGAGCACTTAAATTCCTCTCAAAATAATCAGTCATTTAAGCATCCTTTTATGGACAGCTTTGGAAAATAACAATCATTAAGGCATAACTGCATATGTTATGTATAACATAACACTATCATTGTATTGACATRTGAACATACTCAAAGACTGACACATTGATGGTAAGTACTACATAAATTCATACCCRAGTACAGAACTGATCCTTCTTTTCAGCAAAAGTAATATCTACTTTAGTCCATCTTTTTTAAATAACCAGTGTCTGACTTAGAATTGCTTTGCAGCTAAGAAATAAATCAAGGCAAAGTTTTTACAGATTCTGTTCCATTCCCATTGTATCCAATCTCATCAGCAGAGATATGGAACCAATAGAAGAACAGATATGAAATATAAATATGAACAAAATAAAAAGACAGTATCAAAAAAYGATCAGGATTTTTTTCTGTGTAGARTTGAATCTGTTGAAAGATTAATTAATTATGGGAAAGTGTTTAAATAAATTATTCATTTGAAAAACAGAAGAAAACAACATTTTTTAATGTTGAAATTCTCTCAACATACCTATTTTATTTTCATCTCAAACTAACTATGTCTAACTATTCTTTTTTTTTAAAGTGGATAATAATGAAAAAATGCTGGAGTTTTGCAAAGGAATTCACAGAGATGGTACATGAAAACACTCTTTGTTTGAATTTCAGATGGGAAAGTTTCAAAAGCTCAGCAAYTCCTTTGGGAAGGGAAAAGAGGTTATTGCCCTGTTCTGCTCAGAACTAGTTATTTAGTTGTGTCTGATCTTGCAACTCAAGAATCTTAGACAAAATTTTAAGAAAGAAAAAGGTATATGCAATTCATTAATCACACATATACATTCAATAATTAATTCTCAGTCCTACCTATCTGTAAATCAAAATGCAGTTATTAGTTAAATTGTTGCTAACTATAATGATCTTTTGTTTGTCTATGTAACACTATTATGTGTTTAAACATTGGGAAGTTCTTTTGGGAAATCTGCCTTTACTTCAGCAGTCAATTGTTCAAGGGAAGAAAAAAAACTTCTTTAAAGTATTTCCTTAATAAGACATAATTTGAGTGTAAATATAAGCTGATTAAACTRAAGATTTTTTTTCTCTTTAATTGATTCTAAATGAAATTCAGATCTCTAAAGAGAATATAAGCAAAATTATAAAATTAAGACCTTTGTTACATTTGCTTCTTTTTGGTGCATCAGACATCTGTGCTTAATTATACTTGTCAGTGGACAATACAGCCTCTTCATGCAAGCTCACACGTATCCTAGAGCAGAGGGAAGATGCAGTTTCCTGGAGAGATCCTTAGAGGTAAATCTAAGAGTGTATTTGCCTTCTATAATTTCTCAGATGACAGAATATGAATAATAGACTTTGTGGCCCACTGCATTGTTGGGGAGCCGTGCGGGAGAAGCTTACAGGAAAAACAAGACATAGTTATGGTCTGACCCTAGATTTTCCATATTTCAGTGAATCAGAAAGCTCTAGAAATTTCAAATTTGAAATAGCACTGTTTAAGTATTTAGGCAATTTAAAAATTAAACTTTCAACTCTTTCTAATCACAAACAGAAACCCAACCACTGATTGTTTTTATTTCTAATTCMAAGTAGATTTGGAGACACTCCTCCATAAACAGTGGTAGGCCATGACACACAGGAGACCAAAGACAGGCACAGCAGAATCTTTAGCAACATGTGCTTTCATGTATTTACAACACAGCAAAAGCAGTCATGTGATCAATTACCCWATGCCAGCCCATACACAGGACTTAWTAAAAATGCCTTCCAACTTAGGGAATCAAAAAGGGTGTAGTGTATATTCCWCAGAGGAGAGCTGACAGACATTCAGAATCAGTATGTTCTTCCTTCARTGATTTTCTTTCCCTTCTTCTCATCAGCACTGGGATGTATTACAGGTAAACAACTTTGACATAGCGATTAAAGACTCAAACCACCACTTTTCCTAAATTGAACAGTTATGGGGAAGGCAAATTTGTTTGTATGTTTTGTTTGTTTGCTTGTTTGTTTGTTTTGCAGCAACTTCCTTTCATACTTCTCCAAAATCCAAAAACTAACAAATTAAAATCTCAGCAGAAGCTAATACTTCATAATTGCATTTGAAATGTTAAATCTTGAAGTACCATAAATGAACTTCTACAGAAATAGTTCACATGATGTTGTTTGTTCACATTTATAGCACCAATAATTCTGGTTTGTTTTAATATAGATCTTTTCTAGCGGGACCTATGCAGAAGAGTATTTAGACCAAGATCCTTGAGCTCCAGCAGATCAATGCTGGGGAAATTGATTCCTGCTTCAATTTTAGGTAGATGTGTAGGCTTTAACTTTACAGACTAGCTACTTCTAGGAAGTTAAGGCTGTTAGCTGAGAAATCTCCTAAAGCTGCAGTGTCGGTTCAAACCACCCCACACAATACAACTGGCCAGCCACACAATATAGAAACTAAAAATCTCATCGTGGTTTGGGGGTTTTTGCTGAGTTATTGTTAACCCAGATCACTTCTCTGATGTGATTCACTGCTCAGACACTGGACACTATCAGGGTAACAGCAGCAGCAATATGATTCAGGAATGAGCAGCGAGAGATGAGGACAGTCAGATGAAATGCACACATCTGCTGTAAAAAATGCTGCCAAACTGTGGACTAACATAATTAACAAATCATCCCACTGACTTCTCTGAAATTGCCTTAGATGGTGAACCAAATTCAAGTACAAGTGCAAGTCCCTGTGATATTTTGCTTCTAGTGTTCTTAACCCACAGAGGATTGTGYGAGATGTGCTGTTCTGATTGCATAGCAGCAAGATATTTTGCGGGGAAGTTTTTTTTATATTTCAGGATAACTGATATATAAACATGTGTTTTATTTGTAAACACAGGTACTTGGCTTCCAGTGTTGGTTCCACCTTTTCTACAAATTCTCTTAATCCCGAATAAAATTCAAGTTCTCTCTCTACTACTTCATATTGCCAATTGCATTTATTCTGCTCTCTGACTGATCCTGCACCTGCAACCTGCAAGTATTTCTCAAAATATGAATTTCTCATCTTCCAATAATTTATATTTCACTGATTTCATGGATGCCTAGTGGATCATGATCACATCCACTCTAGCAGAGTCTAGGAGACAGTTTCCTCCTCACATGTGAGGTACAATACAGTTCTCAATTTCGTATCATAGCTGATAAGAAGCTATTATCTGTCAAAAACTGAATCCCACAGCTTTGCAATCTACCTTTTCCTGTCAGCTAGGAACCCTGCCACACTTCAACATCTCAACATGGTCCCTGGATCACGGTGGTGCAATTATGTTACAATTTTGCACCAACTAAACCACAATTTAGCATTTCAGTTTTGAATCATGTTTSTTTTGCTACTTTGAAAACGAGGGTGAAAACTTCTTGAGTGGTAGAAATGCAGTTTCACAGCTGCTGTTGATTGTTTTAACTCCTTTGATGTCAGTAATTGGAAGGAAGATGAAAAGCAGCTGAGGAGCTGTTTGACTCCTTTACACGAAATAGTGACTGTTCCACATCARTGTCATCCAGAGAGCCCTCTGATGGCTCTAGAGATGAGGATTAAAAAAAGATACACTGCTGACTGGTTGACTGYCAGATCTTCCAGTGTGCTGATCTCATTCCAGAAATTACACATCTGCATGTGGTCAGAAAGACAAGATGTTTCACTCTGAGTTGCCTTAGTGCCCTGCTCTGGTAGTTACTCAGCATTTTGCAGAAGTGCTAAAATTTTCYACATTTCTACTAACTGAATGGAAATGAAAGCGAGTTTTTATCCCAAGAAGTTTAAAATGCCATGTTCTGAATTTCCATTAGGGGATGATAGTCTGCTGTCTCAGTGTTATTTCTAATGTGTGYAATATTCAGTAGTTGAAATCATACTGGATTTTATACCAGATACAGTAAGTAAACTTTGTAACTACAGTTTTCATTTTGAAAAAGTTCTTCTGCTTTTGTTCCTCAGATTCAAAATACTATTTTACATAGGTTATCCATATACAGGGATTATTATAGCAACAGGGAAGCTCTGGTATTCAAAACACATCAGTGAGGAAACATTTGTAGACAGAAGCAACAGTCTTGATTTCAGGATGCACACAACTCAGTATGAGCTAAATCAAGAGTCAGCAACTGATTGCTGTAAACATGCACAGTAAAGCTCCTCACCAAGATCAAGGGAGCCCTTTCAAGGTCTGTTAAATGCCAGATCTCTTGCACAACGCTCATTTTCCTTTGTTCCTTTGCTGTCTGGAGCCACGGCTGCTAACTTTGTCAGCAACTGAAGAACTGACAGGAATGTGAAAAAGCTAGTCTAAAATTTAAAAGAAGCGATTGGGGAGGGGGGGTGGTGGTTATTCTGACTACATCACACGTGAAAGGAAGGAGCCATCAGCAGTGAGCAGTCTTGCGCAACATGGGTAGGCCAGGCTCAGTATGCTCTGCCTCTGCGCCACTAGTTTTAGGAATCAAATACCCCCACTGGGGGAAGCAGGGAACAGCCCCTCAACACAGCGCCGGCGGGGAAGGCTTAAAACACAGGGTACTGGGATTTCTTCCTAAATCTGAAAGGAAAACTCAATCTTCTCCACAGTTCCTTTGTCAGAACACGGTCCCGCACTGGGTGGAACTGCCCGCTTAATGCTCGGCGGGAGATTTTAGGACAAGTTTGCAGAATCTCCTTTGCCCTTTGCCGGCCCGGCCGGGAAGGTGTGCCGAGGTGAAGCGAATGGGATCGACCCCCTCTCTGCCCCGCCGGTGTCGGGATGGCCACGTCGCACGGGGCCGTGCCGTGCCCGGGGACACGGGGGCCCGGGAGCCTTGTCCCTTTCACAGTGCCCCCGTGGGCGCGGACGGGGCGGGGAGAAACCCGACCCCCGCCGCCTGGGAAGGGAGAGGGGCTCGGCCGCGCGGGAGGAGGCGGCAGCAGGGCCGTGCGACTGCCCCATTCGGCGGGGACCTCCCCAGCCGGGGCTGCGGGGAGGGCGACCCAGGGCGGGGCCGGGCGGGGCGCTGCCCTGCCCTGCCCTTTCGCCGAGCGGAGAGGCGGGAAGCCGGCGTCGGTGCGCTGCCGGCTGGCCGGAGGCATGCGGAGCTGCGGGAGGGCGCGGGGCGCTGCGGGCTGGRCCGCCCCGCTGCTCCTGCTGTGGCAGTGCCTGCGGACGGCGCGGCCCTACAACCTGGACACTCAGCATGCGCTGCTCTTCCGCGGCAGCAACGGGACCCTCTTCGGCTACTCTGTTCTCCTGCACCGCCACGGCGAGGAGCGATGGTGAGTCCCCGGCCCGGCCGCCCCCGCGGGGGCCCGTCGCGCCTTGTCCCGGCCGCGGCTCCTCACGCTGTCGTCTCTGCCCCGCAGGCTGGTGGTGGGCGCGCCCCGGGCCAGCTGGCCCGCCAACACCTCGGTGATCAACCCCGGGGCCGTATTCCGGTGCCGGATCGCGGGGAACTCCAGCGGAGAATGCGAGCAGCTCCAGCTGGGTGAGTCGGCGGTGGGGCGGGGGCAGGGAGGCTCCTGCGAGGGACGGAGGGTCKGTGCCCGGCGCCCTGCGCGCACCGCGGCTCGGCTCCGCTGCCTTGCGGCTTGTGCTGGGCTCTTCCGGTTTAAAGTGGCTTCTGCCTCTCGCTAAAGGGCGAGATCGCCGCTATTGCCCAGGGGCAGCAACGGCGGCATCGATAGAGAGAACATGCACCAAAACTTGCTTCGGGGAAGTTAGGTGKGACAACAGCTCCCGTTCCCACGGCCGTTTCGCACCTTTCAGCCCCCGCGTCAAAMGCCCCGTGAGAGTTTCGGTCTGACTCCTGCGCTGCTCTGCGGAGAGCTAGTGTAGCTTTCAGGGCAGTTGGTGGGTGCAGTAARCTCAGGGATGGGAGGGTGGAAGTTCCTAAATGTGCCTGAATCATGTTTTCTTCTGCAAAGCCTTCCCTTCGTAGAATCCACCCTAAAGTAACTGAACCACAGTTATCTTGCTGGTGGGTTCTCCCTGCTTCCAGATTTGTTGAAACAGTGAGTTTCGGGAGAACAAAGCTATTTTTGACTGAATCAGTTTCTACATGTGCTACTTAGCTCCTCTCTATCTCCATAGTCTCCATAGTAAGGAGATGCAACTTACCCAGCTGTCTGCACTTACCCAACTTTCAGGTGTTTGATACTTGTTAAAAAGAAGGGTTACCATGAACATGTGTCAATTGCTTTGGACTCTCTTCCTGTCCCACTTGCATACAGTGCTGCTCACTATTCTATGTAGAGAATCTTCCTCAACTTTTACTCTGCCACCCTCTGACCAAGAGTATCCCATCCGTTATGTTCACGCCACCCAGTAAGGATAAGCGCGGGAAAAGGGCTATCAAAGTATTTGAAAGCAATAGCGCGCCATGAACTGGGCAAGGCAGAACTCAGTATTTAATGACAAAAAAAAATGATAAAATAATTATTTCTCTACRTGTCTGTGCGTAAAACTTAGAACTGACAGGTTCTATCCTTTTTTTTTGCTACAAATGGATATAAGTTTTGTAACTGGGCTACAAAAGCCTAAGATACTTCAGTRGTGTTTTATTTGTAATTGCGCAAGAAAAAGACAATCAGTGGCTATTAGGAAGAATGACAATTAAATTTATACCAGCCAAGTAGTTCTTTTTMTTTTTTCTTGAGTAATTTAGTTCCAATAGTTATTCATTTTTCCCCAACTGCTTGTTTGTAAGAGGAAGCTTGCAAAAAGTCAAAATGATCAACTAAAGCAGTGAAATAGCATATGCTAAGAGGCAATAAACCCCTATTCCTGGCTCGGTGGTAAAAATAGTCCTTTACTCTATGAGGGAAGGAAAAGAAGGATTGAAAGTTTCAAGTTCTTTCAAAACTGCATGCATCTGCTGTGCCTCTCATTTTACTCATTTAGCAAAAGGAGAAACAAAAGCTCTAAAGAAATAATATGATGGGTTTTTCCTCAATTGCTTAGGGGATTCTAAGTGAAAAGATGCAACAGATATATGAAAATGTGTATGTGGTTACAAAGGCTTAAGTTAATGTGGCCTCTATTCCCAAGTTTAGGGGCTGCAGGTTTCACAATGTAGTTTACTGTCCTGTCCTATTTAAGAAAGCARTTATATCACATGAGATTTTTGGAAACTCTATTTTTTTAGATGACATCCATGCCTCACTAAGGTTCCTCTGTAGTATTTCTGAAGTTAAATAGATGCTGAAAAGAAGTGCTGTATTGTAAAACAGRTCAATGAGGTCAATGAAGAAGCCAAAGGCAGCTGTGGTGCATGGGATGTAAATGAAGTGGGATAGTAGCTGAGGTCACAGAAATACACAAGGGAACTTGCAGTTGCAAAGCTGAACTTAATTACCTCTCATCTAACTGGTTCAAGATCTCATAGAATAGGAAATTTCCTTAGAAAAACGTGTGGCAATATATTACACTGCTGAACAGGCACATTGAGAAGTAAGTGTTTCTATCCTGCTCTTAAATTATTGAATTCACATTTCTTTCTAGTAAAAGCATCTTTGAGGTGATAAGTTTCTAACTGTAAGTCATAAAAAAATAGAGGTGATAACAGGCAATAGAAGCGGCTTTCCAAATGTTGGGTTTCTGTAATAAATGGATGYGAATTACTTAGAGACATAAATATGTTAAAATATTTCATTGCTCCTTTTGGCTAAAGTAGCCTTGAAACTGGCATAACTAATTAATGAAGAATTCATGAACAATTAGGAAGCCTCTGACCAYGCAAAACTACTGTTTTATTTTTATATGTCACAAGTTCCTATGTGCTTCCTCAGTAGCAAAAGAGCTGCTGGGAATAGTTTTATGCTGCTGTCATCACAGTATCTGGGATAACTCATCCAGACATACTTTGAGAATTTTAATGTTGTTCAAGGTGTTGCAGGCCCTGGGCTGGTTTAAGAGCTGAAAAAAGCCATGATATACACTAACAAGTCTTCCTAGTCCATCACTGGCACTTTTAAATCTCTGATTGATGAATAGTGGAGTTTCCAGAGTCTCTTTTGTACTTGTAGTACTTCCATTTATGGTATCAAATGTTCTAGCCTGCAGATTTTTTTTGTATTTGGAGTATATTTAAATAATGGCTTGTGTTAGATGCAGAGGCATGTAATCAATCTTCAGGCAGAAATACAAAATACAGTGCTTCAGATTGAAGCACAAAGTGTCCATCTTCTAGTCTGAAACCTCAAATCTTTGCYCACATCAGTTTGGGGTAGTCGCAGATTATTGCAGAGGAACTTACACAAAGTTCTTGAGACGTTTTGACCTATTGTTACAGAAATTCTTCAACAGCATTGCTCTCAGATTTAAAGCACTGGCTACAGTAAATAGAAAACAAGTTGTGTGATTTACCATTCAGTCAAAACGTAAAATTAATTTTAACTACAGATGCATGCAGTAAATTCAGTACATGCTGTTTAACATAAGGCCAGAAAACTCKGTCTGCAGTTTCAGTCCTGCTCCTTTTCTCTGCTGCAATTAACCTGTGAACAAATTGCCCTCTAGCTCCCCCAGCTGAATCATTACAATGGAAAAGTGAACACTTAATGGTTTTCCCCAAAAGGCTGACCTGTGGTTGTTCAACTTTGGTTTTGATAGTTTGACTTTTTTATCTCTCTTGCATCACTCATGCCCTGTAAGTGATGTCTTTCAAAAGCCATGCTATTCCTAGGAACATGGGACCTTCTGGACCTAGGTCTGTTACAGAAGTATGGAAACAGGTGTCACAAATGTTTTGGGTACAATTTGTTTGAGGAATGTAAGAGGGATAAAACCTATCAGACCTGTGAAAATGGAAAATATTTCCTGGGTGACTAAAGAAAGGACTCTGATGAGGCCCTAACATCTAGGAGCAGGATATCAGAAGTCTTATTGCCTTTGCAGTAGACTTTATAGTTTTAATCAGTTAGCAATAGGACCAGAGGAGTTATGGGAGGATAAAATTGATCATGAGAGGCTGTTGGGCATGGAAAATATTGGAGCAAGTTATATAAAACTGGTTTCTGAGATGACATTGCAAACATCTGTATTGTAATCCCTGAGGCCATAACCAGAGGTGGCTTTATAAGTTGTGACCTTATTTATTGCAGTTGCATTGTTTCTGTGGATGTGTTCAGCAGGCATGGGCAATTACTTATTTCTTAGTGACTTTATGACAGCACGTGTTCCTTTTCCCTGAGGCAACCAAGCTGCYGTGTCCTCTTGAGCTTATGCAGTGCTGCTCTGCTGCTTGTGCAGAATTTCTGCATTTTCTCATTTGATAAAGCTTTTATAATATTATACCCTGGGCAGGGACTCATCAGAGTGTCTGGGATGTCAAGTTCTCCCTTCTCTCTCCCACAAAGGTCTGTAATTTTCAARGTGGTTGAATACTTGCCAGTCAGAGAAAGAGAGGAAACGTAAGGCAGCAGGTCAGCAGAGGGCCAGAGTAATCCTGGATCACTGCATGCTGGAGTGAAGGAAAAGGGGAATACAATCCAATGAGTGTCAAGGAATGGTGGTGCCTTTTCTTGTTACAAACCTCTCAAACAGGCACAGGAATGAAACACTGAGACAGGCCAAACTTACTCATTCTCACATCATCATTGTCTGGTTTTATTTGATTTACTGCTTWAAAAGTCTCAGCCTCTTGGGATTTAAATTTATCGTCCTGGTCTCTATTTCTTCCATTTCCTGCAAATCCACATAAAAGCAAAGCCCAGGTAAGTCATTGTTATAAGAGGATGGAACACATTGATAGAAGGGAGTTACCAGAAGTGCCTTTTGCAGTTTAAAGGAGGATTTATTCTTACACRTGGGACTGTATGGAGTTTTGTTTTCTGAGGAGATTTCAATCAGATTACCATCATCTCTAATTCATGCAAACTATGGAAATGTCTCCCTTAGGAAGTGAGAAGTTTTCCATTACATAACTCCAAACTTCAATTCCAAAACTAAATCCCAAACTTGTTTCTGAAAAGCTGTATATATGCAATACATGGAAGTTCACATCTCTGACATTAGCCAGTAGGATAATTTGGAACCTTATCACTCAATCCTCAGTGATAGAGAACCTGCAGAAGAATCAATTTTTTAGTAGATTTTTAAAGTCGTGCTTTTCAGTTGTGCTTGTTTTAGAAGACGAGCTCATGTGTTGTTAATTATTCCCTCGGTGACCTGCAGGATTTATTAAATTACAGTAATATAAAATTTCTTGGCTCAAAGACAATTGAATTTGATGTTATTGTGAGTGCTAAGGTCATTTCCTGTTTACTTGAATTTTGCATATGGTTTCCTTGATGTCTTAGGGAAAGGCACATGAGGGAGGAAGTAATGAAGAAGAGGTGAAGGAGGGTCAGGTGCCCCTTGACCCTGAGAAGAGGGATGTTTCTGGGAGGAGGTAGAGTGCAAATGTGGTGCACAGGGGACATCATCCTTTCTGCAGTATTGTCAGGGGCTCTGATCGCTCCATCAGAGCAGGGGGAAAGCATGATGTTTGGGAAAAAAAAGTAGAGAGATAAGGAGTAAGTAGAAGAAAATCAAGGCTCCAGCACTTTCTTCAGATAAATAGCAGTGGCTGGGCCTGTCACAAAACAGTATGGAACAAGCTCTTAAACACAGATGGAATTGGGTCTTACTCCTAAAGATGCTTCAATGTTTTCTTTCCATGTGATGAAGGGTTATCTTAATTCCACTAGCCTCATATTTTCTATCAAAAAGCTCATTACATCCTAGGTATAAAATCATTTAAGTCAGTGTTGGATGTGAGAATATATGTCACAAAGCTTACAGTCAGTCACCTTTCTACTGGCTATTGAACACACTAGATGTATCTCTTTATTCTGTTTCCATACTTAATATTTTGCAGTCATATGTCCTGTAAAACAAAATCAACAAATCCACTAAATTAGAGGTGTATTCATTTAAACTCTCTAATGCATTGGCCAATGCTTAATTTCAGTTCTACTATCAGCACCAGTGTTTTGTTTGGTGGGTTAAGTGTTGCCTTATTTTGGTGGGAGGCGGTGAGAAARTGGGAGTGTGATTTATGGGTTTTCTTTCCATGCAAACAATGTCCCACCAGCATTAGTACTCTGTGGTCTGTACTGGTGTCCTTTTCTGGGTAACTAAGCTAACCCTTAAACCTCAAACATTTTGGGCTCACCTATAATTGTATTCAATCTGAGAAAGTCTTAAAAATTATGCAAAAGAGTTTGTTCAAATGACATAATGTGTTCCCTTTTTTATAGGAAGTTTTTTTCATGAACTGGCATGCTGATGCTTAGAAAATACTGATTCAATAATTTAATTAATATTATTCATACAAACATCTTAAAAAATAAAACTATGCTTTAGGCAACCTAGAATAAATGTGTAGTTTCTCCTTACCCTGGGGACCACTACAGCTTTCCAGAAGGAAGCAAATGTTTGCTAACTTGGCAATACTGTAACCTTTTGGGGTGTGGGGGCAGAATTAGAAGAAACTTCAGTATGTTCTCTCAAGATTTTTAAAAATAACTCTCCTTCAGAACACACTCTAAGAGCTGCCACTGAATAATTGCAGCAGTGAAAGGAGCAAGCAGGACGTGCATAGGTAATGACTTGATATCTCCAGTAGAGATTGCAATGATGCAACCTTTATTTGATAGCCATTTGCAGYAGAGATTGTTTTAAGGTCTGCTGCCARTAGRTAGATAGTTGGAGAGGTGTTTGCTTTAGGCTAGAGTTTAGATGGTGCTTGCAGGTATTACTTGTGTCTCTTATGAACTATTAAGCTGAAGAGCGATTACACCAAAACTGAGTGTAATGTCACTTTCTATCTTAGCAATGATGGAGATGCCATGCTCACTGCCAGCCGATTGCATTCAGAGCCAGTATGCTCCCTTTGGCTATGCACAATCATACCTTTGCTCAAGAAGATAGTAAAATGTCTACATGACCTAATACAGAGATCACATCCACCAAGCCTGAATTACTGCAGTTCCTTACAGAGTTTTTGTTACCCTTGTGTTACCCACCACTTTGTCCTTCACCTTGTCCCTCTGTTCAGAGCACTGGTCTTTGTCTCCTAGGCGACCCCAGTGGAGAGCGCTGTGGGAAGACTTGTTTGGAAGAGCGTGATAATCAGTGGCTGGGTGTCAGCTTGGCCAGGCAARCAAAAGAAAGCGGATCTATCGTTGTACGTATTAACCTTGATCTGCACGTCTGTCAGACTGCATTTGCCTTTCTTATGCTTCCGTGTCAAATGTTGTGTTTGATTTGTATCCATAGGCTTGTGGACATAGATGGAAAAATATCTTCTACATGAAAAATGAACACAAACTGCCACATGGTATTTGTTTTGCCATCCCTCCTGATTTTCGAACTGAACTGAGCAGAAGAATATGCCCATGCTATATAGGTAAGCAGAATGCTTGAGTCCATTTGTAGGGAAAGGTGAGATACATAATGGCATGGTGCAGAGTTTGTGAAGAGCCTGTGTTGCTCTGAGCAAAATAAAACTCTGGAACTACGTGTTTCTTATGCTTCTTAATATTTCTTGCCCATTCCTAGATCATGCACGAAAGTTTGGAGAAAACCATGGATCATGCCAGGCTGGAATGTCTAGTTTTTACATTGAGGTGTGTATTAATTATACCTGTTTATGTATTTACTTACATGTATATGTGCATAAAAGRGTATATGTAAATGCAGACATCAACATTTTTATTGTGAGAGGGAAAAATSACTTTTCTAATTTCTTTTTAATTGAGTCTTGCTAAAACTTGTGTAATTCTCAAGTAAACTTTTTATTCCAAGAATACTTTTACACCTTACTAAATCTGAAGTTACTTTTCATCTGAAAAAAGTCATGGATATAGCAGAGGATGAAATTTTATTATTCTCTTTGTATCTGTTTGATGTAAMACTAATAATGCTTACCTTGTTGCTTTACAGAGTAATATTCTATATTATTTAGTCTTCATTCTRCCCTAAGATTGTAATTTCTAAAAATCTTTTTTGAGAAGAGAATATCTTGTTTGTTCTATTTTGTTGTTACTGTTCAAAGCTTTCAATAACCATATTATTACAAGGTCTGGAAAATATTATCTGTAATCTAGTGGTAAACCCCAATGCTGACACAAATGCATCTCCAGTAGCATTTCATAGAATCCACATATCTAAAGCATTTTAAAGAAAAGCAAAACAAGTAAAATACTTGTTTTTTGTGACTATTTCAATGTGAATAACATGTCTTTGTTTTACTTTTCTTTTAGGACTTAATTATAATGGGAGCCCCTGGATCATTTTATTGGACTGGTTCTGTTTTTGTGTACAATGTAACCGCGAATACAATCCACGCTTACACGGATTCAAATAACCAAGTGAAATTTGGCAGTTATCTAGGTACTTAAGATATTTAATACTTTTCTAAAATATAAGCTAAATAAATAGCTGGTCATGGGGTGAGTGCACAGTGGTTTTCAGTGTTTTCACTCTTAATCCCAGAAGCAACAGTTCTAAAGATGTGTTCTGATTTTGTTAAATATTATTTAATTCTAAGGTTTCCTCTCTGTTATTGCCATGAGGAAACTTCTCGAATGTTGTATTTCTATTCTTACTATCTCTCCACTGACCTTTAATAATTTCCTGATTTTGAATGTAGAGATGGTTCTGATTAGCAATGGTTTGTTCTTTATTCTATGAGTCTGAGATGCTGCCAAGAGCTTTCACAGAAAAAGACAATGATTTCACATGTAACTGACAATGAAAAGATAGTTACAATGAAAGCTGCAAGCAAGCGTTAATTACATTGTGAACAAGGGGAAGCATGATGTGACTTTAGAGACAAACTTTCTTCCATTGGTTATTATTTTTCTYTTTTATTTCAATCATATCTTAGTCTGGAAAAATGGGAAGGCAAATCTCATCTATGAATGTGTGCAAACCAGGCCATGAAGTTCCYACTCATGTACCAGTATCTAAGTAACTAGCTGAATTTAGAGCTACAGCTTGTCATAAAGGTTTTATGACAAAAAACATCAGCAGCTTCAGGCTTCTCTCTACACACTAAGAAAAGCTCATCTGTCCTTCCTGAATTTTTGAGCAAGAATACTTTTGCTTGTGACATTGGTTTTTGCATTTTCCCATTCAAAGTTCCGGTTTACGTGGATAAACATTTCCTGTTTCTGATTCCAATCCTCTGACAATAGGAAGTTGGCATATGTTATGAAATAGCTATTGTGAAACATAAAGTGACTGACTAACATTTCGGAATTCAGTTCTGAGCCTGCAAAGGCTTCAGTGACCCTGCAGGAAAGCCAAGCAAAAGAGAGGCTGGATGGTAAAAGGTGATCAGACACACAGATCCCTAGGGTCAACCAGTAACACTTCTAATCTTTGACAATCTAAAATCTAAGAGCTTTCTAATCTAAAACTTCAGAGAATGCTCCAGCTTTCCCATGATAATCAGCAGAAAAATACTGCACCTGTTTGGGGAAAAAAGTTCATTCCAGATTTCTGCTACTGCAAGTATAAGAGTGAGGATTTCTGCARTGAGTCAGATCACTGATAGCCAGAAGCCAGATACAGGCAAATGAATATGATCCTGCATAAGGGCAGTGCTGGGGAGATGTAGGGARGGCCTTTCCACTCATATGTGCTCTCTCTTCATTTCCTTGGCCATTCAGGACCTGCAATCATCTATTCACAAATATTTCTGTAGTGATCTGGTGCATGTCTTCTAAAGTTGCCCTTCTACAAGAAAAGTACCATTAGCTCATTTGTGTGTTTCTACAGTAGCAGCTATGATAAACCTTATGTTTTGCATTGTTTCATGCTACTTAAACCGCTGCTTTTCCCTCTTAGTAACACACAGTGTGGTTGAAGGAATTTAAAGGTCACTTCTTTCACCTCCCTCAGCTTCCGTCCCATCTCAGGAATTATTGAAGACAAAACTCCATTCAGAGCTAATTCTGTTACCAGATTTTTTTTGGAAGTCTGTTTCTGCCTTAAGTAATGAATAAAAATATCMCTGCCAAGTGGTGGAAGTATATTGTGACCAGAATGTAATTCAAGCATGTGATTACATACAATTATCTACTTCCTCTATCCTTCTTCTGACAGGGACCAAGAAGTTGGCATCTTTATTTACTTTTTCCATTAAACTGTTAAAGAATAATAAAGAAACTAGAGACTGCAGGAAGTACAGAAGTATTGTAGCATTTTCCATAAGCTGAAAGAAACGAAGCTGTTCATGTACCAGACAGCTGAAAGAAAGAAGTTAGAAAGATGTTGGTAACACATAACTTTAGGTACTATTTTCTGTACTGCTTCAGAGTATCTTGGAGAGTAATAACTGACTTTCTTAGAAAGAATTATCAAAGCAAGTCAGTCTTTCAAATTAGCTGGCCCTGATGAAAGAGTAACCTTGACATTTAAACTGCCTTAAAGGAATCACAAAGTAAAAGAGTTTCTTTTAGAAATCCGAGAAGGGCAAGTAACATTTCAGAAAACTGAAAAACTCTAGTAATGGTAAAGAAGAAAGAACTATGGAGTTGGAAACAAAGTTTCATTTATATATGCCTTTTAATTTAAAGGGTCAGTTATGTGATTTGCCCTCCCCTTGCCAAACATTTTAATACTATTAAATATAAAAGAGGACTATATGATTACTGTATTTTTGTGTGTGTGTGTTTGGCTTTTTTTTTAAGTTCTTAAGAATGAGTAACATTTACACTTTAACAAAAGCAAAATAACTRGAAAATAAATGTCAGAGGAGGTAAATTAAGGTTCATCCTTAATTTTTTGTTGAGTAAATAAAAACTTGGTTTTGACCTTTAAGTGATAAATTGCCCTGTTCCTCTCTTTTAGCTTAAAATAAGAAAAAGAAAAGGTGGCTTAATGAGAACTTGAATGCTAGGCAGTTACCTTCACAGATGAAAGATTCAAGGCTTGTTCTCATCTATCCAAGATGATTTCTCCATTTCCTTTGCATGCTGTGAACATCAGTAGTCATTCAGTAAATGCAGGAGTAGCAGGATATGTTGTCTGTCTTTCCTGTTTCAGCTTAGTTGTAGTGTATCCTGGAAAGAGTCAGGATGACTTGGGCAGGTTAAGATGTTAGCCTTTATTTCTCAGTTCTCTGTCTGGCTGCACCGAAATATGGTCCTGTTTAGGATCTCTCTCCACATACAGAAATGCTTTGTAATATAGATTAATTTATAAAAGCTGCTGTAATGTTTTCTTATTACATAATCAGGCTTTTGCAGTTTGCTCCTGACATGTTCATGTGTGTGTCCATGGTGCTCTGTGTATGTGCACGTGCATAGAAGTAGCACTACATTTAAGTTTTCTTCAGTCTGGCTATACAACAGTCTGAGTAACAACTGAATCAAGTATTCCCGTATTGCAGTGCATTGATCATTTTTACTTGTATTCATAATATGGACTCTCTGAACAATTGCAGAATAYGGATTAACAGAAGGTGTTTGCAATTTATTTTATTGGCTTTGGAAGTATGGCAGATAATTGAGTTCTTGGGAAGAAATAAGTGTTTCTTACACTTTCTCCTGCTTGATGGAACTTACTGTTTGTACCTTATATTTCAAAAAGTTTCTATTCTGTTTTCATTGCTGACTTGCATGAGGTCTGAATGTCAGACTCACGATAATTTATGGTGTTGACAGCTTTTATACAACATGATCCCATTCTTTTTTCTTTGTGTGGCATTTCCAGAATTGAATAGTACATTTCTAATTTTCAGGATATTCTGTTGGAGCTGGACATTTTTTGACAACAACCAGCATAGAAGTAATTGGAGGGGCTCCCCAGCAGGAGCAGACTGGTAAAGTAAGRGATTGTTTATAATATTGGTTTGAAGACTATAACCCCACAAAAACCCTGTAATCTTCCAATTTAGATTGAAGACAAGTATCAGATATGACTTCTCATGGGGGGAAAAAGTTGAAGAAGGGATTAGGGTAGACAACAGTAGTCTAGGGTAGTCTAGATAACACTGATGTGAGCTATWGTGTTGAAAAAAGGTGCAGATAGGAAATGGGAGATAGCTGTACTTGRTGATATTGTGCATGGCTTTGCTGGTTCTCTGGCACATGCTGGAGAGAAAGCACTGGGAAATATTTCAGAATTTAGGCTGCTGAATTCCACTTACATTTTCTTTTCATTTCAGGCATATATTTTTAGCATTGAGAGGCAACTAAATATTCTATTTGAACTAAGGGGTAAAAAGGTAAATAYTTCATACTACTTTTCTGCACCTTATAACTTGTAGTACATCTTCATCAAAATTCAAAAATATTAATGATTTCTTGTCTGCACACAGCTTGGTTCTTACTTTGGAGCTGCAGTTTGTGCTGTGGACCTGAATTCAGATGGCTTCTCAGACTTACTGGTTGGTGCCCCAATGCACAGCACTGTCAGAGAAGAGGGAAGAGTTTATGTCTATATTAATTCAGGTTCTGTAAGTATTTTCTCTTAAAAATACATGGCAACACAGCCCKTCTAGTTTAATGGGCTAAGAGGAAGAGTTTTCCTTTCTTCTTATCCAATGTTTGAGGATGTAGGAAAAGCAACAGAACACAGACTGGGTTAGTTTCCTGGGGGCTGTAAGTGGTGACAGCAGCCCCTTTCGAAGCTCTCCTCCATTACTGTGCTWCCCCCTGAACTGCCATGTGAAGTACAAATTACTAAGCACTTCAGAATCAAACAAGGAATGAAATTTGCATGCAGTTACTGGTACCAGTCAGGAAAGAGACTGGTACTCCTCAGTTTTGTACATAAAGTGACAGGACAGATCATGCATTTGAATTGGCTTTTTWAAAATTCTTTCTAAGGTTCAGAAGTGAAACCTTAATCAGTTTGTTATTCCTACACTAAATCTCATAAAATATGTTTGAAAATGCTTGTTTCTCTATCAAGGAGTTTKCTAGGATTATATATTGCTATCCAAAGCAGTTTTTAACATTTTCAGTAACATTCTTGGTCACCTGGAAGATGCTCTGTTAATATACCATTGACTCTTGTCCTTCAGGAAGCAAAGATGGTAGAACTGAACATAGAGCTCAGTGGGAGTGACTCACATGCAGCAAGGTTTGGAGAGTCCATAGCCAATCTAGGAGACATAGATAATGATGGCTTTGAAGGTAAGAAAACAAAGAAAACCTGCTGGGTTTAATTCTCTCTGATCAGTGGAATGTCATGATAAATGGGAGGATTGTGGAAGTTTGAGAATTCTTCTGGTTTGAGACTTGACTTTTCTGATTTGAACTGTAGCTGCTTCACAGTCATTGGTGTGTTATACCAAGGGAAGAATGTTTTGATAAAGAACATGAGCATAAAGTGTAACATAGTCTGTAACTTGTGGCACTGAACCTCAAATGAAATCACTAATCCTGTTTTTGACAACCTGAGACAAAGTATATCTGACAGTTTGGCAATTTTGTAACAATCATAAATGAGAATGCGAGGAATCTGCTTCTGTCTCACTACTAAGAAGCACTAAATACATGGGGATACTGAAAACAACCTTCAAGTTTGSAGAGTATTTTGGAAATATTGAAATAAAAAGTGAATGAAATGTTGAGAGTGGCAGTAAGGAAAAAAGGGTCTGTAAAAAACAGGCTGGAAGCAAAATATAAAGAGAAATTGGGTAATACAAAGCATTTTTCTGTAGTAATTAAATATGAGAGCAGAGCCAACTTCTTCAACAATCCAGATCTTGAGCATCAGCCCTGTTAAGATAATAGTGTGTGTTTAGGTGTAGAATCTGAGCTCCTGAAGAACTTGGGTAGAATTTTAAGARGCCCACCTTGACTGTCCCATTTTCATCTCACCAGTAGAGAGACATAATGTGTTTTGTGTGGTTGAGTCACTGCACTGTGGGTTCAGTCAATGTGGATTCAGTCAGAGAATTGTTCAGTAAAATCAGAGAGTCAGAGGCTTTGCTTTTCTTGTGATTTTGGTTTGGTGCAGCATGAAGTTTTTTTGATTTGCAGATAGTTCAGATTTTGCTTATTATTAAATGCAAGTTCACAGTTATTAATAGTGAATTTCAAGATGGTGTAATTAATCTGCCCCTCCCTCCACTGCATGGTTAACAAACTCTGGCTGTTTGAACAATAGGAGTTTTTGGTAAGGGCTATTGAGGGTGGATTGATGAGTAGGTAGGTTCGTTCAATTTGTTAGGAGTTGCTACACCCACTTGGGATTAAGTCATCTAGGCAGAAAACATATCCCTTTGTTCCAACCAGCTACCTTCATTTCCTTGTTAAAGACCTTTTCAAGCTCATTATCAACTGTCATGGACATGTCATAGAAAAATAAATGGTTCATTTTGGGCACTGTAATWAGGGTACTTGTGTTTCAGTGACTTAATCTATGTGGGAAGAGCAGGAAAACCATCACTGTTCCATGGATACAAGGCTTTTTTTTTTTTCTATTTTTAAAGACCCTGATAATTTTGGCTATTTTCATGGAAACATTTTAACCTCTTAAGGGTCAAAATGAGCATTGCTAGAAATAGACTRTCTTTAACAAAATGGCTGTATTTGATGGTTGTTTTCCATACGTAGTAATTAAGACAGAATCAGATTACTGAGCTGGTCTGTATTGTTTCTGTTTGCTTTATATCTATTTTCAACACTGCCTTTGAATTCAGGCAAGTAAATCTAAATCTAGTCTGGCATTGCGTGCATCGTGATCTGCATTTCTTTAACTGTTCATATTCCTTTCATGTTCATATTCCCTGGTCAACTGATCATTGCTGAATTGTTTCTCCACAGATGTGGCAATTGGGGCTCCACAAGAAGATGATCTAAAAGGGGCTATTTATATATACAATGGCAGGGAAGATGGAATAACACCATCATTTTCACAGGTACACTTTTTCAATGAAAAATACCCAATCAGGAAAACCCTAAGTTTGAATCTGAGAGCATTYTCCCTTCATTTAACACTCTGATCATTTGAAATACTTTAAGACTTCAGCAAATTTCTAAATGATCTCTGATTTTCAGTTATGATATACAGTGTAAGAGAGAAATAAATTGTTTTGGGCGCTTTAGGCAGGGTTTATGGGATTGAACATTTGCAGTAATTGAGGAATATCACTTTCAGAGGTAAATCTCACAGCTAAGCCCATAACTATGTTCAGCAGCAGGATTGTTGTGCTAACATTTTTCACTGGAAATTGTAACTCAGAGTTAGCTTTCCAAGAATATTTTTCTCTTTTACATTTTTCTTCTCAGAGAATACAAGGCCAAGAAGTCAGTAATTCTTTAAGCATGTTTGGACAATCCATATCAAGCGGCATTGATGCAGATAACAATGGTTATCAAGGTAAATTAAACAATTCTGTTTATTTTTCATTTTTAAAAGAAYAGGGATTCATAGGGAACAACCCTACTGTGCTACTTGATACTTTTAACAGAAGCAGAATCTGTTATTAAGATGACATGTCATATCTCATACTTTGGGAAGAAAACAGGAGAGGTAAAGCTGAGGCCAAGCAGTCAGTTTTCAGTCATCTAGCTATTATTTAAGGAATGAGAACAATGTAATAGTAAGATCATAGTGCATAAGAGGAAGAAAAATGTGATTTATATTTTGAAAGCAGCCATCTCATCTACTAGTGTCACAATGAGCTGGTTTGGATTTTGACAGGAGTTCTGGGCTCTCTGACTCTCAGTCTGAGTGAACAATACTTTAACCTCACTTAGGGCTCATGGCATTGGATTAAGACTYTTGTGCAGTTCTTGTGGCCTTGAAAAAGTAGTGCTAATTTGGTGTAAAACAACTTCACTGTTTCCAAGTACATATTAATTGCTTTATACATGCAATCAGAACATTTTGCCATTTTGCAGGGATATGTTTTGTCTGGTCAGGCATGTCTGTGCTGCTCTTGTGGATGCAAAAGCACAAAGTTACCACGAGCTGCATGTTGTATGTTCTGTCTCTGTCCACAGAAATGTTATCTAGGTTAATTTGTAATGCTGGCTAAAAGGTAGGTTGCAGGTAGTCTGCTCTCAGGTCACCTSTTGGTCACTAACCTGGAAGTCACATCCTCAGACCTTTATATCAGTTATTCMTCTGTCAATTCACTTTTGCTACCTCATTTGAGAAGTATATATACTGTTCGTATTTCTTCCCTTCTTGCATGATTAGATTTCAGTGAGTTTGGAATAAAGTCAGTATTTTTTTCTATCTCTATGTATAATTTCATACATATAATAGATATAAGAAATTCAGTTATATAAATATAAACCAATATATATGTGCATGTATAGCAGTATTGAGAGAAGGCAAGTACTTCCTATATAGCTGAATTGTCCTTCAGTATCAACCACTTAAACATGGAATAGAAATCAAATCATCACATTATCAATATCTGCAAGTCCAGCAAATTAAGGCAGCATTAATGGACAGTGGACAATATTTGAGGAACCATTTTTGAATATTAGCATATCCCTTCGAATAAAAAAAGGGAAATGGTGTTTTAATGCTGATCAAAGGTGAATATGCTATAAAATGCTTATACCTGAGAATAATTCCTGCTGACAAATTATSCTTATTGATGTATCTTTTTTGTGCAGATGTAGCAGTTGGTGCATTTCTCTCTGATTCTGCTGTGGTGCTGAGGTGAGAGTGCTACGTTTTGGTGCTTTTGAAGACCACACAATTTAAATCTATTTTTAGTACAATTTATTGAAACACACTAGGATAATTTAACCTCATTATATTCTTGATGTCTTCATCAACTTCATCAACTTCAATCATGAGGCTCTAGGAGGCACTACAAGTGAAACATTTTCTTTTTTTTTGAGGTGTTTACTTAAATATCATTCTGAAACTTATTGAGGCTACAAATAATGTCCATACAACTATTTGAAGCTATCTGAAAAATTGTAATTCTAAAATATAAAAATAGATTGTAAGAGATGTTTTGTTTTGCAGAAATTCTGTAAGCTATTTCTGAACGTTTGTGAACACTCTTTTCTATTCATAGAACAAAACCAGTGGTAATTGTTGAAGCCTTTTTAAAGCATTCCAATTCAATAAACAGAACTAATTTAGACTGCATGGAAAATGACCAGCCTGCCACCTGTATGAATTTGAAGATATGCTTTACCTATAGAGGACGAGAGGTATCTGGTTATATTGGTAAGCTAYTGGAAAACAAAAAAATCCAGTCTATGTATTCATTTTAAATGCTCCTATTTAGAGAATAATGCTACTGGCATGTAGCATGGACCATTAATCTGAGTTCAGTATMAAATGAAAAGCTGAAAACATGGATACCTTTTTTTATATCATGATTACCTAGAACAACAAGCCATTACACTTCTGTTCAATTACAATAGCAGCACATTCCTGCTAGAACTACTGGAGTTATGTGGCCTCAGTAAGACAGTGACAATAAAAAGGGTGATATTTAGCTGTCCTCTAACAGCATTCTTCTCAGACATGGACCAAACCATATGGGACTGCTGTCTTCCACTTGGCAATAGAGAGAAGACATTCCTTCATAAACCAGCTCAAGCATCTGATTATCCCATTGTGGGGCATTGTGTGAAAGAGATTACTGAAAAATAAAACCTAAAATTTTAAAAAATAAAATATAAAATATATTATATTTTATATAATGCATGTTTTGCTTTTATCCAAAAATTGGTATTGCTAGAAGCAGTATTTATCAGAGGGAGTATTCATGGTGAATTTATTTAAAATAATTTATTGCCTAAATTTGACTGCATTGCTGGAGTGTTTTTAGCCTACTTGTCATGTGCTATTTGTAAACTGCAATCAGCCCCGCAAGGACATGGTATTTAGAATTAAATTGCTTAACTTTTCTGTGTGAGAACTTAYAATAACCTTTGGGAGCACATTACAGACAACATATGCAGTGAAACATATGTGAAGCTATATGTCCAAATTTTTTGAAATTCATATTCATTTTGAAAGATGAGCAGTCAAAAAGGTTCCCCCTTGCTAGACTTGTACATAGGGCATTTTAACGTAAATTAGAAAGGACTAATAAAAATTGTGCATAACCTAACTCTTGGCAAAAATTTGGAAGTAATAGAACTGTAATGATCTGAAACTTGCTTGCAACTTGTTATCATAACAATTTATGCTAACTTAAATAGAAAAAACTGTGAAGTTAAACAACATTTGTTAGTGTTTGTTGACTTAACTGTTTGTTGYAATTTACTGTCAGCCCTGTAACTAACTGAAGTGGGTTTTCTGTAAATAGATTTTGGTAGAAAACTATAAATATAACCTGATAAACCACCCCTGATGTAAAAGCATGTATCAGGGAACAGCCGTGAAGCAATCAATTTTCAGGGTACTAGAAGCTTTCATTAGGTATGGATTTATGTCAGAGCACTTTTAAACAGATCATTTTAAAATTGATCTTACAGAACATACTTACAGAAGTGAGTCAGAAATTGTCATTTCTACCATAAATCCATAAAATTTTTACAGCCTTTATTTTCCCTGGGTCTTATTTTGTAGTATTGCTTTACAATCTGAGTGTTGATGTGAACCGAAAAGAGGATACACAAGCAAGATTTTATTTTTCCTCCAATGGAACATATGATACAATCTCAGGAAATGTAAAGATTTACAACAATATTACTGCCTGCAAAGATCATCAAGCATTTCTGAGGGTAATGTAGTTTTCAGTATGTACTATCCTGTAAATCCTTTGTTCTCCTTTGAAAACACACCTGCTGCAAAAGGACCTATTCTGTTTACATTTGCATTACATCGTTTTGGAAGTAATTTTTGTGTTCAAAACTTCCACAGTTAATTTGTTTTAATTCTGATGCTTTCTCAGATTTCTCTGGGGAAGTCAGTTGGTCTGCCATCTCTTAGATTGGTGAGAACATGCATAATAATAATAATAATAATAATAATAATAATAATCACAGTGATGAAGTTGGACATGGGCATTATTGACATTTTTTCATCATTTTTATGGATGACACATCATATATAGATTGAGGTTGGTTTGAAACAACTAAGAAGATGTGACATAACATGCATATTCCACTGAACATTTCTCATGGAACTTTCCTATGTACTCTTTGATGCAAAATCCTGAAACCTTTTATGGTTTGTCATTTGTAACTATTTCAAAGAACACGTGTATGGTCTTGCTTCCTTTTTTATTGTGAGAAGATAAGGTAGACTCAGCTAAAAAGGAAAGAACCCATTCCTGATTCATAGGAAGGGAAATAAAGACTAGAAAAGTCTGTTGTTCAAGGTTTATAGCATGGTGTGCTTTGTGAATTTGCTGCAAGGAGCCAAAGGCTAGCAGGGTGTGAAGAAGAGCACTTGCTTGAGCTTGCTTGATTGTTTTCCTTTGAGGGATGCAGCACCCACTCTTTATCTGAAGGTAGAAATGGGGTAGGAAGAGCACTTGTGAAAGTTTCATGAACGAATTTAGAGTTGAAGAAAATACACTGTGCTGAAAAAGTGGTCTCCCTACTTCTCTGCTTACAAATGTAAAGGCTACACAGATATGTCTTTCTCCTGGACCAGACTAGTAGTGAATGTGGTTACTGTTCTCTGTCTGTCATGCTGTAGAAATAACTTTGTTGTAAAAAAAGCTGCTGATAGAAATGCTTCAGAAGAGAAGCTACTGAGTTAGAAATTCTGCCAGAGCAGGAAGCCACTGAGGTAGAAGTTCTGGTCACAGCAGGAGGCTGTTGAGGACCTGTGGGGTGTCAGCCAGGGACGCGTGTACCAACACCACTAACAGATGGCACCAGCTGCTGGCTGGGCTCTTGGTTTCTTCAGAACTGGAGATTGATCCAACAGCCACCATCCTTTGAAACTGAGTGTGGTCCTGACCTAGAATTAAGTTAGTAAGAATCTAGTCAGTAAGATTTTACCTGCTAAAGTTATCTCAAAGTTGCTGTTGCCCTGGAGGGAATGAACTGTTTTATTTATGCTTGATGTATCCCTCTGAAAGATGAATGAGGGACTTATCTTCAAAGTGGAAAAAAACCCCTGTAATCAGTACAAGGGTATAATATTTTTGAGGCTATTCAATGAACAAGAAAAAGTTAATCACTTTTATTCTATCAAACATCTTAGAAGCTTGTTTTCTACAACAAAAATTTTGGAAAAACTTGGAAAACCTAAACCGCAACAAGTAATAAAAATCAGTGGACACAAAGGAACCATATKTTATTAAACTCTGAAAAAATAGACTTATCTCCTGTTAGACCTTGTCTAAGGGGAAGAGAAGGAGTATTTAGATGTAAGGGGAATTAAGGGCAATAAAATAATGGACTAGTTTGCCTAACCTTTTCTTGAGAATCCTCAAGGTAGCAATTCTGTCACCTTTTGAAGCTAACATCTATCAGGGTGACTGGTGCAGTTGATCCTGCACAAAGGCTGGRAAATAAATTTAATTTTCTACAGCTACAAAGAAACCTGCAGGGAAATATTATTAGATRTATTTTTCTTCTTTCTTCCTTTCATTTTTTGTTTGTGACTCCATTAGAAGCCAATTCTTCACCATAAASCTTCAGGGTAGAAAGGAAAGCTTATGTTACCTACTGGAAAATTGCCCAGATGCATCTCAGCTGATASTTGCACCTAAGTGAATGTTGCTTGAGGAGCAATGGCAAATTGCCACTTACTTTATCAGAGTTTTGTAAACTAAGAGAGATCTGACTGACAGCTGACCTTGTACAGATTGCTGTACCAGCAKTAGCCGGTATTTGTGTAGGAGGAAGGAATTGATTTGCCTCACTTTCTRTAGTTGGTCATTAGTATTGTTTTCCTCCGTAGAATTCAATTTTCTTTTTAATTCTTAATTAATAGCATTATAAGTGTCTCCTTCCACCCACTGAGGTTTCTGTGCTTGTATGAAGTTCCTGAAGTTAAGTAAGTGTGAATGTCTGTCAAGTACAGTCCTTGCAAGAGACAATATAAATTTTATGTATTTTGAGTAAAAGCTAATTAATAGCTAATTAGTTTAATGGACATAATATAAAGCAGATGCAGAGAAGACCTTGTGGAAAATTATTATGAATTAGATAATATATGATTTGGCTAACACAARCTTGCAGATAAAAATTAAAGTAGTGGCCATGTGGAAGGACAATCAGTGTCTGTGTATCCCCTACGCTTAGGGAGTAATTTAATCAGGTTTGTTGGTGCTTCAAGCTGTTCAGTTTTCAGAAGTAGGTAATTTGGGCTCTGATCTAAACATTCCTACACAGGCAAGGCTTCATGTACAAAATAGACATTTATTGAGGAGTTCAATCTTTTTAATACAGCATGGGAAATAAAGAGGCTGAAAAATAAAATGCAGTCATGACCTGATTTAGTGGCACTGAGGGAGAACTCCTTTTGGTTTCCTACATAAATGCCCATGGCGTTTGTCTGGTCTTATTCCACTGGTTGACTTCCTCCATTTTAGCCAACTTTTGCATATTTTTCTAACTGGGCAATGTAGCATTTCATAGATGTAAGGCAGTATTATTGACAGAAGTAGATTCATTATTCAATAAGATTTCTCCTCATAGAAGAATCATCCATTCTGAAATGCCTGTTGCTGTCATTAAACATATTATGCTTTTAWGCATTTCTGATTACCTCCTTCAGCAACAAAGATGTCTGGAAAATTATGGGAGCCATATGGAATTAATTTACATGTRGAAAATAAGTGTTGCTGTTTTAATGAGTTCTAGGCAACCTTATAATTTTAAAACATAAGCATCCATGTTTTGTCTTATATGATTAACTCATTAGGTTTCCAATTTTCGTAGAAAGATGTAAGGGATATCTTGACTCCTGTACATGTTGAAGCAAGTTATCATCTGGGGCATCATATTCTGCAGAAAAGAAGTGCTCAAGAATTTTTACCACTTCAACCTGTTCTTCAACGCAGGAAAGAAAAAGATGTTATAAAAAGCAAGGTTAGTGTATGAGTTCTCTTTTTTCCAATGCAGTAAATGTTCATGTTTTAATCATCAGTTAAAAAAASCTTCACTGATTCATAGCATGTGAATCAGTGCTATGGATTGTGAAGGAATGCATTTTCCAGACCAGCACCTAGTGCCTTGATCTTAACTGAMTGCTAAAAAGATGCCCAATTTTTTGCTAAAGAAATAATCTTTGCAGAACTTTTACACAATCTCTATTATGATTTAAAAATAAAAAAATGTATGTGCAGAGAAATTGCCAKCATRTATAGTACTATATAACTCAGAATAKATGTGTATGCAATTCACTCTTTGAAATATCCATTCTTTTTCAGCTTTACAGCATTAGTCATTTTCTAATATAAAACTGTATTTTAAAAATATATSTATGTTAAATGCRCAATATCATATTGACATTATTYTTGAAGTGCTTGAGTGATGTTGCTGAAATRTACTTCTGTGAAGGTATTTCATGTTTTCAAACACAAAGTCTGTGGGGGGAAGAAAGTATATTCTGTATCCTCTAAGTATGAAATTAATCTTTCTTCCCCCTCAAAAAAACTTACTGAAAGTTAAGAGACTCTAACAAAAGTCAGAATGCACTGAATTTTTAACTTTTCAGAAATAGTAAGCTCCCCAGAAAGTGGTCAGAGCACCAAGCCTGTCTGAGTTCCAGAAGTGTTTGGACAACACTCTGAGGCACAGAATGTGACTCTTGGGGTGTCCTGTGCAGGGCCAGGAGATGGACTCGATGATCCTGATGGGTCCCTTCCAACTCAGCTTACTCTGTGACTCGTGTAAATGAGATACAATTGGCCATCACAACTCATGAGATATGTAAAAGCTACTTTGAAATGGCATGCTTTGATTTCTCATTTTCATGGAAAATTTTGTTTTACAAACCTCAGATTTATAGAGAGTGAAAGTGGGTGGTGTTGAATACAACAACATAAACATGCTCTATAACATATTGAAAACCAGGCACAGACACCTGCAACTCTTGGTGTCTCTACTCTCATCAAATCTTCCTAACAGTATGATAGGTAAAGGTTGTGTCATGAAACTCTTGCAAAAATTAATGTGCTGTAAGACAGGAGAGACTGCACAGACATCAGTTCTGGAGGYTCTAAAACATTCTGTCCTCTTTATGTACTGCTGTAATAAAATTGTCTGAACATACACCCACAGGTTTAACTGTGAGAGACTGAGTCTGGAAAGCCTCTTCACTGTTACTCTGGATGCACAGATTGTGTTTGGAAATGGTAATCGTAGCCTGATTGCATTGTATTTTAGGAGTAAAAGCTATTAGACTCTTTCTGATAGTTATTAKATGATAGGTTTCTTTCTTTGGAAATACTGTTACTCACTGTAAAAAGCATAATGCACTGAAGTGTCTTTTGATTTTTATAGTTTATTTTCGCAAGATTTTGCTCCCAAGAAAATTGTTCGGCTGACTTGAGAGTTTCTGGAAAAGTGGTTTTTCCAAAGTAAGTATAATGCAGCTTTTATTTTTTTGGACAAGATTCAGTAAGATTTTATCTAAATTATTTTTTAATAATTTGTATATAAATAGCAGTGATTTGCAAAAGTAGACTATGGACTTCCCAAGAAAATACAAGAACTAAAGCAGTGCTTAGTTGAAGAATATTTTTAAATCATAAATCTTCCAGGAAATGTAACAGAAATCTATATAATTGAAGAAYTGTTATTGGATAATTAGAAGATTTTACAGTTTATAAAATACACTTTCACAAAAACATTAATTTGTGTTGTACATTTCATATATGACTGGGTTAAGGTAACACTGCACAATGCATGGTCAATATGCAGACATCATAACTACTGTAAAATTGACAAGCTTTTGGTTATTTCTGCTGCTCTTTCTGAAGGTGCTGTATTTGCACTGTACAAAGTCTCAATTAGCRTTATGAAAAGAAAGACTGTAATATTCTTGTGAACCACTTCATTGTTTTTAGTTGTATTTTATTATCACAACCTTTTTCATTATTGAAACATTATATTTCAAAGAGAAGTACAGGTAGTTGGTGTGCAAAACAAGAAATTGGACCTCTTGTGAATCTCAGCTACTTTGATATTTTGTTTGTAACCTGGATTTTCTTATTTTGTTCATCACTTTTAAAGTTGATTCTATTTAAATCAAAATACTAGTGTGGACAACCTAAAATGGCATCAAAAGATACTGACAGGCACGTAATGCAGGTTAATCACACCTGTGKGATCCTGAGCACAAGCCTTTTTATCTTCATAGATTTCAGAGKAAGATGAGTATCCTTCTGCCAACTAATGTGTGGCCTGTAGCATGAGTCTTAAGCCCTTTCATTTTCTTATGCTGGATGGTTATTTTATTTAAACACACATAGACTTTTCAGAAACAATGGTTGTGCAGCATTTTCATTCGTGGCATTAGCAACGCAGTTTTGTAAGTACTTGGAAGCTCTAAGAAAGGAAAACAGATTACAACATACTTGTTTGACAGTAGAGAGCAGCAGCAGGTTTATGGTGTAAATAAATAGTCTAAATATCTTGATAAAGTGTGAAGTATCACCTTAAATTACCTTGTGCCCCTAAAATCTCGATTAAAAACTAGTTAGCTGTGAAGTGTTAATTTATTTTGTCTAGACAGAATGCATTCATTATCCTTGAGGAGCAAAGCAAACATCTTTGGTTTTAAAAGAAAGAAATCAAACAGGGATTGCAATGTAATGCTKTATTTACTGAGTAACAAGTCTTCATGTATACACTATCATATTTTGTTTAAATTGCTTAGATTTTGGTCTGCTCTGTAAATTTCTAGTCTGCATCATGCATTTTTTAATGAAGAATGAAATATGATTACCAGCTCAACCGGGGAAAAGCTCTAGTTCAGCTTTGTTGTAGTCCCAGATGTGCACCTGGTGCTTTTGTGTACTTGTGTGTTAAGCTGGGAGGCATCTTTGTGACAGGATATTGTTAATGAGCTCAGCTTCAACACATGTAACAGGACTGAGTGGTAGATATATAAGCACTAAAACAATATWCAGATTTAACCAAAACTTGACAAGCCTCCAAAATGTTAACATTGTGTTTCTCTTTAATTTGCTTTTGTCTTGGAACATATCTGCTTATGCAGTGCTTTTGCCTTCTGTTGCTTTTGCAAGTGCTAGCTTCTTTCCCAAAGGTGTTCAGTGACTAATGCTTTGGTTTCGAGCCAGAATATCTGATAAATGTCTATTTCTAGGCACCCTTTCTACAAGTCTTAATTAAACTTTAATGTCAAGCTGAAGTTTACTTTTAGCCCCTGATAGGGTGTCTGTACTTGTAACATGATTATAGAACATTACATAGATCATAAGACAGGCATGTTCACTGTTTCCCTTTTCATRTTAACTCAGTCCTTTATCCTGAGTGCAAAGAGTGAATTTTGAAATAATGTCTGAAAAGACTGTAGCAGTGGTACTTAGCAATTCTGGTCTGTAAGGAGAAGGACTGATCTTAAAAAGGCCAGAAGCACAACTGGACTGATGACAATGTTGTTGCTCTCTCATTAACCCCTCCAGGCTTTAAGAGGTGCAGTGCTGGAGTTGACCATCTTATAACTGGAATTGTACCTTAGGTATAAAACTGAGTTACAAAACCTTTCCTTACATCTCCTTACAGCTGAGCTTTGTCAGAACCAACTGAAATTACCTAAAGGAGAGGAAGAGCTTTGCATACAGGCTGTATCTAGAATTACTTTCCATTTATAATTATTTTTATAGGCCTCATGATACGAAAACATACCTTGGTGTTGGAAGTGTGAAGACTTTATTGTTGAACATTTCTCTGCTTAGTGTTGGAGATGATGCTTATGAAACTGTCCTCCACATTCAAATCCCTAAAGGTCTTTATTACATGCGASTTTTAGAATTGGTAAGAAAAAAGCCTCTCAAATACTAATCATTTGATATTTTTCTTTTTCAGGCAGGCATTTTTCAAATTATGTTTATGAATTGTTGAGTTTCTTTAGATATTGRACCTACATCCCTTCATCAAAAGCTGCCAAAACTTCAGTTGTTAAGTTCTCAGACTTCTAGCTACCTAAATCAAGTGCAATTTAATCAGTACAGATGACTTACATAATTTCAATCACAACTAAAATAAACAATAGAAAAATGTTTYTAAATTATTTGAGGATGTTATGGCTGGTTTTGGCTAATAATTACGTTTTCATTGATCACAAAGATCTCATTGAATCTGCTTTTTTTCCCAAATACACAGGCTTATAAGAAGTCATAAATCTAATGGTGCTCTTTCTGCCCTTTAAAAATAACTCTTCTCCATAGAGAATCCCCCAGATCCACCTTTATGGCCTTTAATGTGGGTGGGTCCAGGTCTGGTGAATGTGCCTTGGATTCAGTGAGAGCAAGCAGCAGATGAAGTAACTGATAAGTAATCAATATAATCTGTTATGTTTAAGTGGTCATGGATATCCCAGATATTGGCATCAGTGAAATAACACCTGGTGCAGAAAAAGATAAAGCACCCAATTTTAGTGTGTGCATGTGATGTGAAATGTCTGTAAAAAAAACCTTTCTTATTTTAATCATTACTAATTTGTCCTTTATTTTAGGAAGRAAAACAAATCCATTGTGAAGTATTAGATAAAGGAACTCAGGCAGTGACACTTAAGTGCAGTGTTGGTTATTTATATGTAGATCACAACTTAAAGGTAAGCTACAAATGAAGTTCCTAGCTTGTAAAACACCCTAAATTTATTAGAAGGATTTTCATGTGGGGAAAAAAAGCCCTTTTTTCCATAATCTCTTATTCATTCCTAACTAACATCTCTTATCATGCTGATATCTGTATCTCTCCTGCTACTTTGAAAATTAATTGGTTGAAAATTCCCTGGAATAATTCATTAAGGGACAACCATGTTTGTATTATGCATCAACTGATTGTGCTTGGCCTCTAGACAAGTGAGCTGACTACTGGCATGGACAAATGTGTTAGGTCAATAAAAAGGGGGCAGAAAACACAAAAAGCAATTATTTTCTTAGTTTTGACTTTTTTAGAATAGGAAATTCTAAATGAGTTTAATAAAATACTTCAATTTAAACTGTGTCAAGATACACTATCATTTAATATAAGGAAAATTTTATTTGTTCTACAGCTGGATTATAGTTTCCTCTTGGATGCAAGCTCATTAACCAGAGCAGAGGAGGACCTCAACATCATCATTAATGCTACCTGGTAAAATCTAATAAAAATTGCTTAATGAAAAATACTACAACTTTGGAAAACAGATAAAACTGGAAAGGCTTAGCAAAGCATGATTGCAAGAAAGTACATTGGTTGCAAATCTATATATAAGGAAAATTGCAAAAAAAAAAAAAGTGATACTGAAATAATGAGCAGGTTTCTGCCTTTAAAAAATGTGGGGGGTTTTATTGCCTGATCTGTTGTTACCAATCAAATATTTTTAGTTTAATAAACTGAAAAATTTTAGTATTTGTTTACAAAAATAGTGCATAGAATACGATGATGCCTTCAATACAGATTTTTCTCTCTTTGCATCTTTGTAGTAAAAATGAAGATGGGAACATGTTGCTGGATAACATGCTAACTTTACCTATACCTCTAAAATATGAGATTGAGTTAAATACTCATGGGTAAGTCACCTGTTGTGTACCTGCACATCCATAGAACTGTCTTGTTATTATTCTAAATTCACAAAGCTTTCAAGGAGAAGTGTGGTGTAGCTGAAAAATCCTGGGACAGAGATGGCACAGCTGTCCTGGGTTCTGACCCATAAACTTGTAAGATTGTGAGATGAGAMCACTGATATCCATGGTGCTTTGAACTTGTCTCTTAACGGACTAATGTTTGTTTAAAAAAAATGGAATGTTTTTTAGAGAAAGATGTACCTAATAAGARCATAGCAGATCCTCAGATTTCTTGCTTAACATGGATTGTATTCTGGGTTTGTTGTGGGACATTCATGGAGTGTAGCTTTGGGTGAGGATTTAGGACTTTTTATGATTCATCTGCCTTTTTGAAAGGAAAGAGTACAAATGCAGAGGGTTTCTAATCTAAAGGTAGATAATTTCTACACTGTGTTCTTAAAAGCAAACTTGGGTATTTTCTTACAACTGATCTTACTGGAGGTTGTGTGGAGCAGAAAGTTATGCTAATGATATACAGCAATTCTGTTCATTAATAACTTCTAAACCATTGTAGGTTTGTGTCACCAACCTCATTTGTTTATGGAGCAGAAGAGAAAGATTCACCAGTTACATGTATGAAGGAAAATATCAACTTCACTTTCCATGTAAGAGTTTTCCTTTGTAAACCCTGTCATCCTTTTTTGAAGGTTAATGTTTAGTATATCTGAGGACAGTCTACACAGTCAGTAAGAAAACTCGTAAGAGTACAAGGGCACTTTTGTGCATTTGTGATGGGAAGTTGCTGTTAATCCTCTTAGAACACTTTTTTTGGGCCCGGAAAAATCTACCACAGAATGATCAAAGAAAAAATTCTTAACACAGGCAGGATTGAAAGTGGTAGAGCAGTATTGACTTGCCACTTTTTCCTTTCAGAAACACCTTAAAAGGAATTATGGTAAGAAAAAGGAATTAGRAGCTTCTTATAAGAGTATCTATAGCATCAAATTTGTCTCCAGTGGATTAAAAGCAGGAGTTTGGACATAAATCTCTCCTAGTTCCTTCTGCATACTGTGCTGGCAGGCAGTGTGTATGACCTCAGGTACTCATCACAGATTGGCACTCCTTACTCATCAGCTTTGGCAGAGTGAAGGGCTCAGTAAGCCCACAGAATGAATGAACAAAATGTTAACACTCCTAGCACAATTAGCTTTCATGACAGCATAACAGTGCAGGTGCTACCCTGTTCTGAGAAGCTTTGTCTTTTTATATCTGTATATTTTTGTTACTTGAATAGCTACCACTGAAGCCTTCTCTGTGTATCCCTCCTCTTCTCCACAAGGTTATCAGTGCAGGACCAAGCATGTCTCCAAATACCAACTTAGAGATAATGATACCCAATGCTTTTGCACCCAGGGACTCCAAATTATTCAACACACTGGACATCAAGGTAAGCAAAGGTTAATGGGTTACTAGATCTATGAATTCTGTAAAAAAGAGAAGCAGAACAAAGTCAGCTAGGTACTAAGTCTGTGTTTGATTTCCTAGCTATGGTGAAGCAGAGTGAATAAGAACAGGATCATCTTCAGCCCCACGTGTTTCAGAATTCTGGAAATAAAATTTAYGTTTCGTTTCAGCCTTTCAGAAATCTTTAGTCTGATTGATCTGATATTTAAATTMTAATGATGATGTTATATTTATTTACAGACAACAGCTGGACACTGCTCCTATAATAAATATCCCAGAAACTGTATTGCAGCAGAAAAAAATGAAAACATAATAAAAGATGTCATCACTTTCTTTTCAAAGCCTAATAAGAGACATATGGTAAGTTCTGTCTTTTGGCTTCAGTGGGAAAAGATTGTATGAATGAGCCTCAAAAGAAGAGTATATCTTATATAATGAGGTCACCAGAGCATCTTCCAAGGATGTGTGGTGGGACTTGTGGTAAGTTCAGTGACTTTAGGGAAAGGGGTGAGAACTGAGCTGAGAAAGTTATCAATGACACRTTGCTGAAGTCAGGGTGGATGACAGTCACCTACAAAGAACTGCCCAAAGGGTATGGAATTGAATGAGTGGGCAAACAAAATGGCAGAAAAATTCAGTAACAAATAGAAAATGATGCATCAGGCAAAAATAGGCTTTATTTTAATTACACGAAGTATGCAGATCAAATATTCATTGTCTTTTCTACATCAAAACAGTGCCAYCAAATGTAACTAACAGGAGCCAGGTGAAAAACCCTTGAACATAGTAGTTGTGATGGAAGTTCTTCCTGAAGGGAATGAATGTTAAAATTAGTTCCAAGGAAGACTRTACAAGTTAATGGGACTGAAAGTCAGTAAGAATTACAAAATTTGTGGAAATAATTTTTGGCTGGGAAGCTATTCAAAATATTTGGGAGGCTGGGAGAGTGCCATACAGGCCTGGCCTGTTCCAGCTCATYCCTCTGTTACTGCTCACGGACTCTGCTGGAGATCAGACACTTTTCTACACAGTCCAAACCAGAATTGCTATTTTAGCATTGCATTGCTGAGGGTTTGTCCTCAGAGAAATCTGTTTCCTGCACCTTGTGTTTGTTAAAGTACAATGTTTATTCTTTCATCTTAAAAGAAAATAAAAAGAAAAAAACCCCAAACCAAACAACCAGCCAAAAAAAAAAAAAAAAAAAAAACCAACAACAAAAAGAAAAACAACCCATTTTTAAAAAATGTTAATTTGGAACTTTTAAATAAGCACATAACAGGGAATCTCAGCCAATGATTGAGATACAGTCTACACTAGAATATCAAAACAGTACTTCARCATGGTAGTCTTGGATAAAACATAATGATCAAGATATAATAAATTAATCATGTACAGCATGCTGAATCTGTCCTCTCCAAAGCTGTGTGAAGTGGTGCTAGCTGTCAGTGTACAAATGTACTGCATAGCATAGAGTTATTGTCATTTATCATTATTGATAAAAGCTAATTTGAAATAACAGTGTAAAAATAACCCCAAACATATAAGCAAATTATGACACTTTTTCAGTCTCAAAATAATTGAATTTTTAAGAAAAATTACATGTGTTTTTTATAAGAATTAGGTTGGTCTCTTGTTACTGTACSTTAAGCACTTCTGGAATGACAATGATGGATGACCACCTCAAGTAGCACCCTGAGGTTTTTTTTCATTCATAAACGTGATTTTTTTTTTTTCAGTCAGCTCCTGATTGTCTTTAATATTAGGACTATAAAACTGATAAACTTTGGTTTTAATCTTTCMTTTCCTTCTACAGTACTGCATGAAAAATGACAGCCTTTGCTTACAAATMCATTGCCAGCTGGGAAATATGGAAAGTGGAAAAGAAGCAACTGTTCAGTTGCATCTGGAGGCTACTCCTTTACTTGTAGAAATGGTAACACATGAATTTTTCATACTTGAAGGGAATATTTGAAAGCATATTTGCAGTTAAATAGTTTGCAGYGCCTGCAAATAAATTCTATGTACTTATATTTGTTTTCTAACAGTGAAACATGTTTCAAACATGATTAAATCTAAATTGTTTAGGTTTTAACCTATTTTATGTTTTCAAAGCTAAGGCTTGAGGTGATGTATGAAAAATGAAAATATGTATTTTAGTTTATCACTTTATGGTATGTATTGCTGTGCCTATTCTGGCTSGGTTATGTAGGATGGGGATTTAATTTCAACTGGTAATTGTACTTTTCTCGGAAAAGCAGCGTGGATGTGGACTTCAGTAAAATCCAACCTGGCTTCGTTCCAGCTTCTGGTACTAATTTGTTTTGTGATCAGAGAAAGGCACCATTGGGTGTTTGTGAGATTCTGGTTACATGACCAGCTGTGTTACCAGTTTTTCTGGGCAGGAATAAATATGTTAAAGTTTAAAGGTTTTTTTTAAAGAGTTGCTTTTTGGTTTTTTTTTTAATCAGGATGATGCATCCGTATTGAAGTTTGAAGTAAGAGCAGCAGCCTGGCCAGAAAAAAATACAAAAGTTATTGAACTRCATAAGGACAAACAAACTGCATATGTAAGAATTCTTTTATGAATTTGTGATAAACATGTTAAAGTAGAAAAACCAACTGCAATTAAAACTGTAGAATTCTGTACATACATACACACAGTCAATGAGTGTAGCGTTAGATACTTGAAAATTTAATAGATTTTCCTAGAGTTTTTTAGTATTGTGTAGGGGAAAAAAACCCAACAGTTAGCAATAAACTTATTTTCTGTTTTTCAGGTCTATTTGGAAGCATTGCACCACCTAAAGCCAAAATACCATGTTACTGTGCTAATTATTGCCCTAGGCTTAATAGTTGGTGTTACGTTGTTTTTGCTTCTTTCATTTATACTATGGAAGGTAGGTTTTCATTATTTCTTAATTCTTAAATCAGGAATTCATACTATTGGAGGATTTTTGGAAGTGGATTAAAGAATAAGTAACATTTTATTATGATCTGTCCTTTCTAAAGTAAGATAATTTCTCTTATTAGTTGGGGTTTTTCAAAAGTACTTCCTTTTTTTCCATTTCATCTTTTGCATATTCTATATTTTCTGTTACTAAACACCACAAATCTCTTTTACAATATTTTATATAGCATCTCAAGTTTGCAAATGATTTATGTAATTTAATGATATTAAATGGATCATTTTTAAATGTGGATCATTGTCCCACAATGTCACTTGACACATGACTGATAGTTYAAAACACAGTTTCTTACCAGAATAAAATGTCTAAGACTTCAAACTGCATATTAAAACAATTCTGTGCATAAGTAAAAGAGAAAACTTATAAGGATGCAGCCCCTCTGACAAGTGATTAAGAGATTGTTAGCTTCTTTGCCAATGTGGAGACTTTCTCCATCCATCATTTTTACATGGACTTACAGAAATTAAACAAATTTAACAGGAATGTTTTATTACCATTTCACATTTTTTAAAAAAACTGGATTCTATGGACTGTTAAAGTTCACAAGTCCAAGTCCTTACCTCATGAGGAGAGCATGAGCCTTATAAAAAGTAAAAAATGGAAAAGCAAACTTTTGCTTGATTGATTTTGCTCGATTGATGATTGAAGCTCTTGATTAACTTGGTATGACAAAGCACTTCATAAATGTCATATATTTTCATACCATATTTCATAAATGTCATATATATTCCTTTTTATTTTAATTAGTCTTTTATGGTTTAGATTTGATAACAAATATTTGCTGACAACAGATTTCAAATTATGTWTTTCAGATTGGCTTTTTCAAAAGGAAATACAAACCAGTCCCTCAAGACACAAACACAAGAAACAGCTGGAGTTTTACAAGTGGGAACAAAGATGACTAAGATGGCAAATAAACGTCTGATTTTAAAATGAAGGAATTAAAATTCAGATTAATTCACAGGAGAAACATCAGCAGCAAGAAAACTAGGCCTTGAGCTTACTTGCTCTTGCAAAACATGCTTTATTTCCTTGAACTGTATGGAGGATACACCCTAGAGTACTGTTGTTCTAATATGAAAATGGTAAACCAGTTTGTTCTGAAGTCTCACAGTAATATCTGAAATGCCATGTATATATACTTCTATATATATCTGGTTTCAAACAGACAGAAGAACACTAAAGACAAAGAGAAGAAGAATTACTTACCAGAAAGAAGTCTTCTTAGAAAGTAATTAAGTTTTGGCTAATCTTGGAAAGTAAGATCTGAAACACCTCAGCATGAGTTATTCTATTGATTTTAAAGTTTCAATAATATTTTGATCAGGCATTCAAGAAGAAATCCCCTCTCATCTTGCTTTAGCAGTTTAACAAGGGTAAATTAGCTCAAACCAGCAGGACTGTAAGTAGAACTCATGGACATAGAAAACAGCTCTCAGAAGCTCTGGGCTTCTGCAGGGAACCTCGTAAGCTTTGGCTTCACAGGCACAGCCACAGCACTGAAGAGACTTGGACACCCAGGCAAACCAGAACTAGGAAGGCCAAAGGTGGATTCAGAGCAGGGAATTGTGTGGGGTAGCCTGGAGTTGCATCTGTAGAAGGATTAAAGTATTGGAGATCATAATTTGTAGCCATCTTTCACATGGTACTTTCAAGCATGGCAGAATTACTTGTTCCATCCTTTCTTCAGATAGTGCTGCCATAAGATTTTGGACTTCTCCAATCAATCATTTCTATGTGGGTTTTTTTTAAAGCAACTATTTATTTTTATTTATTTGAAGATTTTTCTATAGTACTTATGATAGTATTTATAAGTGCTGGCATTCTTCCAGAACCTGAACAAAAGAGAGAAAGTCTTCACCAGACAAAACAGAGAGAGACACACCCAAAAGACTCCAACTGCCAACCGTAATGCRCCAAATTTTATCTTTAGATGTGCCACCCTTGAGCTGAAAGTACTTYATCAGGAGAGCCAGCTTAGGTTCCTGGGAAACTGTCAGATAAATACCATCCAAACAGGCACCCTCAGCAGCCACTCTCAGAAAGGCAAGTGCCTGAACAGAACCATGGATAAAACCACTGCTCTGCTACTCCAGGAAGTTTCTTCAGCTAGCTAAGTTTGCACTGCCACCTAGCTTTGGTGACGCTGAAGCAGCATAAGCCAGGGGGAAAAAAAAAAACTTCCTTTGCTCCCCAGAACAGCTGGAGAATAACTGAATTTATTGCACCAGAAGGACAGAGTGTGGCCTTGTGGCCAGGCCTTGGATGTCTTTCTGAACTGCAGAGAAGGGAATGCCATCTCTACACACGCTTTGAAGCTGCAACCTCCTGTAGGAGTTAGCCTGAACCTCAAACCCMCAGAGAGTGCCTTTAGCAAGCACTTCTGCTAAGAGTGCTTGGTGCCATAAAAGCCATGTTGCCCACAGATTCCAAAGGTATTTGGGACCATTTTGTAATTTCCTTTCACTTCATTTGATGCCAAAGATGTGGATCGCTCCAAAGTATATTTCCCTCTAATTGCTACAGTACAAGGACAAATGAATGTGCATGTATTTTTTTAAAGTCAAAATAAAGTATGTCAAGAAGGAAATACTTTTCTTGCAAGTGTATGAAAATGTGCAAAAAAATGCTTATCTTCCACATGGCTTTAGTGAATTTTTGCACTTTAACAAAAAAAACCCCTTTGAACAGAAATTAGTTTGATATTACAGCATACTGTGAAAAATATACCTCAAATACTGGAAGAAGCATTAATGTTCTTTTGAGTACAAAGAATGCATGCAAGTGAAACCAAAGCATTTTATTTATCTTTGAAATAGTTTACATCAGTACAAGTGATAATGATGCCTTGGAAATTGTACACTTTCTATTCAGATTTGATTGTTAACATGTAAATGTTGGTTGCTTATTCTTAAGATACGAAGTAAAATTATGAAGCTTTTATAAACCAGGTTGACTATAAATGAATGTACACTGTCCTCATGGTGGCAAGGTTATTAAGTATTACTCGATTGCATTTTGTTAAAAAAAAACCAAACAAGTTAAACACATGAATGTTGTTTGTTCTAAAAGTTCAATTATTTTGTTAAAATTTCATTTATTAAATAACATTTAACTGTACTAAATGTTGCTGGARTGTCTTTTTAGACAACTTTAAGAAGTTTAGTTTGAATTGCCTTAGTATCTTAAAAATAAATGATGGGATACAAGATTAGTTTTCATTGGAGACTACTCACTGACTTGGACAACAGGTAACACTTGGGTTTAGGAGCCAAATCATCATCTGCAGTATTTTACGTGCAGTACTTTKTCCTGGGTCTTTACCACAGGTAAGAATTTTTCACAAGTATTTAAAATCACATTAGCTACAGATCTCTTGTAAAAGCTTAAGCCCTTGATTCAGCAACATCATATAAAGACTGGATTTCACATTACACTCAGCTGCTTCTTGAAGAAAGCATTTAAAACAACTCATTCTTGCCCTGACACAACACAGCTTTCTCTATTTGTGCACTGCCTTCTGAATGATTCCTACACAAGTGGCCAGAAAACATTTGTTACCCATGATCCTGCAGGTGAATAAACATGGTCTGTTACTTTTCATCTCGAATATAGTCTTAATTTACTATTCTCTTAAATAATTGTATTCAATATTAAGTATGCTACAAAAAACCCACTCAAATATTATGTTTATGCCAATAAGGACATTATAAAAATTTAAGTTAGCTCTAAGTCATTTATCATAACTTTATTCTCAGCAAGAACAAAAAATATTCTGAATAACATTTCAGTTCTAGGATAGAGAAAATACTTATTTTGGATAGCAGCAGCAGACTAGAAGTATCTCGTTCTAAAAGAATCTAAAATAACTTCAATGAAAAAAGAATTTCTTCTATTTTGCCAGACACTTCTCAAACCCCAAATTTTAAGAGACTAATATAATCAATTTATTTTTTTCTTGTTAAAGCCTAACAGCTTCTATACAGTTAAATACAACCTGATAAAAATATATCATTTAATACAGATTTAAACCCAGAAATACTACATACATCCCAACTAAGTTTCTGCTACAACTGACAGTTGTAMAAGTCCAGCACCTTGGAAAGCTGTGTGTGGAGGTGGGAACAGGATTCTTTATTATGGAACTTGCAATGTTTCCCTTCTATATGCAGTTGCACGTTGCTTGGGAGCTCTCCAGGTCATCAGTGTTCACTCCATAAAGGTCAATAAGTTGAGGATGCACCCTGTGAAGCAAGGAAGTCAAACTTTATCAGTCAAACTTCATCAACTCTTGCAATGGGTGTGCTGCTTTTTGAGGCTGGGGGGAGAACAAATATGTACAAGCCTTTATATGGAAATAAATTGGTGAATTACATTTTGACAATTGCTATATATATCTTTAAAAGTCTAATATACCCTACAAGATGACCTACCTTTTATTTCACATACCAGRCTTACTCTAAGCTGTGTTCTTTCAACTAATCTTGTGGGCATTGCAGAAAAATGAGCCACTGCCCACTTAATTTCACTGATAATCCTCCCATTTCTATTTGTAGTCTTGTTCTTAGATGCTAGATATGGGGACTATCCTCAAGCAGTATTAAGTTTTCCACAATTGAAGAGCTACATGTTTTTATTAACCTGAAATGTGCTGCTTTCCAAGTAGGAATCCTTGTCCCAAAAGGAGCTTCTCATGGGAGACACATTTTATACATCTTTTTTCTCCAAGAAACAGGATAAAGTAACAGGAAAGAAAAAATAAGTAGTAAAGCAACACAAAGAAAACTGGAGTGGAAGCTGATGAAGCAGCAAGATGGAAAGGCCGTGTGGGTTACAAGAAACCGTTTCAAAGATTAACACAAGGCAACCAGACAATGGCAGAAGGGTCAGACCCTGCAGTGCACAGCAGCTCTGTCAAACACCTGACTTTGGTGCCATCTGTGCCATAYAGGGATGTAACACATCTAAGATTGCAGCAGTAATCTGTTATGGGTATATGGTCCCTAAATGGGGTATTTAACCTTACCGAACATGAACTTCTGATGCTTCTTTCATTAAGTCTCCATCTATATTCCAAGGGTAATTCCCTTCTTCAGAGGCAGCACTCAGACACATATTTTCCTTGGCATCAGATCCACTTTTAGKCTTTGGTTGTACTTTTACTTCTTGGACTGTGTAGGTCTCAACAAAGGGAAAACTGAACTAAACCAAACACAGATAGATATTAAATGAAGATGAAAGATGTAGGTGGTAGCTTAGACTAACATGGGTTACTTAAAATTAGAAAGCTGGCTTTTTTTTTTTTTTTCCTAAGTGGGGACATTTTACTCAAACTTTGACCACATAATTTATTATACATTCTACCCAGTRTTTATAGATTAATGTGGTGTTTTTATCCTAAATAGTGCCTCAGAAAAAATGGTAATGTCCCATTTGTATTCCCATTTTGGACTCAATTAATCTGCAGGTAAGGTGGTGTATTTTGCACATACCAAATACTTTCAGAACATGTGAAAGTCCAAGCAGATTTTTTCCTGTGCTCTGTTCATCCTTACCAGTAATCTTGTCCTGAACCAGGCTAGTTAGAACTCTAGTAAATGGTTGTCTTAAGCTTAAAGGAGAGCTCACATCTCCTTGTCTGATTTGTAACTTCAAAAGCAGTGAGAAAAGCAGGGCCTTCCTCCATAAGTATATCTGGAAATCTTAAACTATTTCCTAAACTCAGCCATTAGTGCTGTCACCWGGAATTGTCACCCATCTCTCCCCACAACTCCCTGACTGTAGGTGAATTCAAACCCAAACCTTCCTGTTAAAAGGATTTCATACAATCCCAGAACACTTGAATGTTCCAAGTGCGCTTGGACCATGCAGTGGCTCTTCAGACAGCAATAAGTTCTGTGTTGAATGTTTTATTTTTCTCTTCTAAGACAGAATAACAACTACAATTTCAAAAGGCAGTTCTACAAACATTCATAACTAGATGGAATGCATACCTGCTACAAATCAATGCTCACAACCCACTGCTACCAGCACAGCATGCAGTGAYCTACTGAAATTACCAACTTTACCAATTTCTGATAGAATTGCATTATGCCCCGCCCCCCCAGTTCTGCATTCTTGATCTCTGTACTATACAAAATTCAGAATTCAGACACAGAATGCATTTCCTTATTGTGGTGAGATGGTTTTACACCCATAAAACTATGGTACAACACAAACACAACTTAAACCACAACAGATGGACTGAAATAGGCTAATCTGTATTAGTCCAGTGATTTAAAAAAAGAAAAAAAAATCAGATAAAAGGGGGCTAATGTATTCTGACAGGAAGCTAAGTCTCTTTACAAGGATGCTAACATTAACTCTTGCAGCTTGTCTACTTTCACGATTAACTGTTCTTTTTATATCACCAGAAAGAAATTACCAGTACCTGATTGTGTACRCTGGTGTATCTTTTCAGATGCTTTATAAACTCTGTTCGAGAAGTATTTTGTACAACAATGAGAGCCATGCTTCCATTATTCAACCTGAAAAGCAGACCAAAAAGATAATTCATTAATTTGGAAGTATAACAGGCTCTTCAACAGCSTAGATTAGAAAGAAAATTTTTAAAAACCCAGAAGAGTAAATTAATAGAATATTCTCAACGGTTTTTCAAATCCTTTTGCTGACCCCCCCCACCCCACAGATCAATATAAACAATTCACTGAAGTTATTTAGGACTGATATTTTTATAACATACACTGTAATAATAAATTGTAGTCCCTTATCCATATCCATAATTTCCTGAGCGCAATACCTATAACCTAAGTGAACCTTGCTTTTCTACTTAACAGATGGTTTTTAAACATTGGGGATCACAAAATTTTTTCTTTTTACTTTTCTCTCCAGCAAAGTCTAACGATTGCCATAAGTGCTGTGAGGCAGAGTTGTACCAAGAAGTCACAGCCATGGTTCATGGTGGCACTCCCAGCACAGAGCCAGGACAGATGGGTTCACCCACACCTCCCACTAACACCCATGCTGCTGTAACAAAGGGTGCCACCTTCAGCAGTGCCACTGTTCCCACTCTCTTTGCAGTTCTTGGTACAGTTCTGTTTATACATTTCCCAAAACACAGAAAGATTTAGGACTGAGAATTTTGTACGAGATGAATCAGCCATGTACTAGAGATTAAACAAGAGCCCCTGCAGTGCAGATGCTCAGTGGCTCTCAGTATCCAGTCACCATGGGTATTTCAGCATCTTTGAGAACTGGGGTCAGACAATGAGCCAGTGCCAATTCACACCTTCTTTAATGGAATGTACCTAGACACAGAAGCTAACAACCAGAATATCCATGCAAWCATGCCTGAGTCCCATCTGAGTTACATACAAATCAGTGCTCAACAAGGATATCTGATGTACATGGCAATCCCTGCTGAGACTGCCTTCTGGAGAGAGATTATATATTTCTGTATTTCCTWCCTTCTGCATAAATATGCACACMTATATTTATTTATTTATTCAGCATGCATGTTTGGAAAGTATCTTAAGAGCATTTAAAAAAMTTTCCTGCAACCCAGCAGCATTGATAGTGATAGTTCAGACAGCTACTGAACGACTGAATCAGGAATGTTCTCAGACTATGATAATAGCACTATCTGGGAGTTACATAAACATTAAACAAGTGACCTGGCACAGCATTACTTTGCTGATTCACAAAAGAGTGATGGTGACATTTAAAAAGTTACCTCCTTMTCATTTGTTTCAATAAAAGGGCACAACAGACTAGTGGGCATTCAGCACCAGAGCCTTTCATCTTCAGAAATGACTAAGAATTCCCATCTGCAGCAAAGCCCCATCTGAAGAGATCCTATGGTGTGAAAAACACATCCCACAGGGCTCACATAGCACAAACAGTGAAATGTATCTGGACATGTTTCTGCAAACTYAGAGCGGTGTAACTGGTGCTCCAAGCCAAAGCTTGCATCTCACTTCAAATGCCTTCAAATGGCAGAAACCTCTGGGGGACACACAAGAGAGAGAAGAAACCTGGATGAGTTCCTTGAGTCTCTAACAATCAGTGCAACATTTGTGTTTCCCAAATTGAAAAGAGTTACAGTCAAAATGCTGTTCAATGCAGCACAGGAAGCTCCTGTTTCAGGAGTCCTAGGCCACTGGCTGACCACACTTTAAAATGATCTTTAAAAAGAGATGAAAGAATGAAGGTGTTCTTGTACAAAATAGGGAGATCCACTGAGCAGCTACACTTCGAGAGAAACTGGCTCGTTTCTGCAATAACTGCATGGAGTTGTCACAAAACTCCCTGTCACTGAGAAATGGGGCAGAAGAGAAGGAAAGAGAAAGCAAAGCTAAAATTCTTATCAGAATTTTCCAGCTTAYGGGTATATGAAAACACTACATGCAGAACAAAGTTCCTAAGAGGGCACAGCATCAGAAAACTGTCTTGAGGAGTATGAGATTAGCAGGACCCCAGTAGCAAAGAAAACTTCATTAAGAGTTCAATCAYAGATAATCTGGTTTTACATTTTTCCAAGAAGTCAAATTCTACTAGAAAAGCCAGTAATTTTGAAGAAAAATACCTCATCAATTCATCTMTAATTTCACCTAGTGACAATCTAAGGAAACAAAAGAGACTCATTCCATAAGCTTTGCTGAGTGTTGGGGTTTCTTTTTTTGGTACACATTCATTCAYACACATGAGTCTCTGCATTCTTTTCTGAGGGAACCTGTTTTATTTTGTGTACAACTACACAGTTTCCACTCACTATTCTGCTTAATTGCTGACTGGATACAACAAGTACAAATATTTATCATCTAGAAACAGTTTTGGTCACCACAAAGCAGGCTCTCAACAAGGAGCTAAAGGCAAAATCAGYCAGTGTCAACAACCAGATTCTGTACTCCTTTGAATCCCCAAACCCTGCAAGTAGAAGCTGCATTTCTCAAGTTCAGGGGGAAACAAAACAAAAAAAAATAATAAGAAAAGGTCAAGTGTGAATTTTAGTCCTTAACAGCATGAGAAAGACTTGTATTTCATTTTTGCTGGCTGTGGAGCAGAAGACAAGAGGCACTTTTATATCTGAAAAAAAATAACATCCAAGGGTAAAGTTTCCCCATAAAGCCAAATCCTATGACAGATGACTGCTCGATGACTACTACTTAAGTCAGACTTGCCAACTAATTTAATCACAGCAATTATCCACTCATAATTCTAGTTACACTGCTTGACCTTATTTACCTGATCCAAAAACTGATTACAATTCCTGGGATTATCGAGTCTGCTGCAGTCCATGCCCCCTCCCCCACTCCAGAGGGACTAGACTACCTAAACATAGGCTCATATTCTCGGAAAAGCCAAGGTCTTAAGGTAAGATGTCAGAATTTATAGACATGACTAATTCCCTAAACCCATACTGACCTCGTATTAGGTGCCAAGCCTCTTGGTGCCATTGAACACAGACAAGGGATTGCCATAATGCTCACATTCAGGAAGTGACCCTGAATTTTCTGCCACTGATCCTTGCCACCTAAATAGAACAGAGTAATTCTATATTACTCCACTTAATCAGGCACAGTTCACTTCTAAAAAATCCTAAAACAAAAACTCACCTTTTTTAATTCTCTCTTTCTTCTTTCTAAAGGGTGGAAACACGTAGGTAAAATAATTAAAGTAATTTTTGCACATTTAAGCAACACATACTTTAGAAAAASAGTAACATATTAGTGGAACTGAACAAATCAATAATGCTGAGTGCAAGATTGCCTTGTAACAAAAWCCTCTATAGTCTACAGGAAACACTTTACAATGTGTACAAGTTTGCAGCTGTCAAAATGAATATATTTTTTTAAATTAGATTAGAAAAATTAATTTTAAAAAAAAAAAAAAATTAAAATTAAATTTAATTTTTTTTTTAAATTAAATTAGAACAAAGTACAGAATCTGTATAATTTTATCTTCAAATACACATTTTTGTATCTTTGCAATTGCATTTGTTTTTACGTACCGGTCCTTCTCATGAGACTCTTCCTGTGGAATTTGTAGAGGTAGAAATGATAATTCACATTCCTCTGGCCTAGAAAAGTATTGATATTTACTATGAAGTAAGCCACCGTCTGACTGTCAGACTTTTATCCAAGTTAAGATGATTTTAAGGAGATTGTGAATGTACAGAATTTATCTCCTCTTTAACTTGTAAGATGGATATGCATCACATCTGAGTGAAATGTCTGCAATTAAGACAACTGCTGTCTTTATTTTTATCACATTTATTATGGCACTTTCCTCAAGGAAATGAGGAATACTAGAAAAACAACTTCTCATGGCATACTTGAGATCTGCCAGTGTTTTGATGAAAGCAAAGTCCTTCCTCTGACTGGAGGGCATCCAGCGGTGTTTCTCAGCCARAGCCAAAGTCCTCGCACCAAACCCAAACATGGCTGTGAAGCCAAAGCGCAGCAGCTTGCTCCGAGTGCTGAAAGTGCACACGTCTACTGCTTGAATGTGCCCTGAAATTTCAGAGATAGAGCAGAAAATAAAAATAACATCTACATTCCAAAGGACCCACAACTTACCATTTCTTTTTCATCTACTTTAGCTGTGGGGAAAACCCCTCCAGACTYGAAACCAGAATCAATCTAGACAAAACTAACACTCTATCAAAGAAGTCATTTCAGATGCTTGAACATGTTAAAGTTATGGTCAATAAATCAGCCACTTTGTAAGGCTGCAAAGGGTCTGACTCTTAATTCTGTGCATATTTTCAACAACTAGTATCAAAGAATATGTAATATTGCTAATATTTGCATAAATCTCTGCAGTCATTTCATCAAATGTATGTAATGACTGAACATTGTATTGGAGAAGATATGGAAACTCTTAAATATAGGTTTGAAATGTA